CTCCCTGCATGGACCCTGCTTCTCTCTCTGCCTGTGTCTCTGCCTCTCTCTCTCTGTGTCTCTCATGAATAAATAAATAAAATCTTTTTTTTTAAAAAAAAAGGAGAGTCCCATTCAGAATATGTAAAATATCATACAAGTCAAAATTTAGATTAAAAAATGAAAAGCAGACTTCCTTTTGGCTTCTAGCATTACTGTCATTACTATAGCTATTATTGTTTACAGGGAGCTGTAACATGGAGCTGATAATAATTGGAAGGACAATATGGTATGACAAGCTTTACTGACCTAGAGGTGGATTATGTCCCAAGAAACAGAAGCATTATCTCACGTTTGTGAAGCCCCCTCCCTCCACAATTGCTGGTGTGTGTGTGGTAGTGTGAGGGTGCGTGTGAATTTACTGTTTTCTCTCAAATGCTTTCTAAAGTAGTTCTCAAGGACCTTAGGTTCTTTGTGGTATCTCTGAACCATCCCTGCACCAGGGACAAAAAGAACACACATAACAGAAACTGCATTCTCCAAACTGAAGTTTTTTGTTTTTGTTTTTCCTGAACTGTGAATTTATTTGTATTTCTTAAAACTTTAAAATTAGCACATTTGGTTGTGTGTGTATAATGGGTTACCATTACAGAAGGTAATACAGTCAGATGAAATTCAGAATGTTTTTGTAGAAAAATTAAAAATCTTTATTCACAGTTAATGTTTAGTTGTTAGGACTGTGGGGGTTAAGATACAGTTATATAGTAATAAAGAGGCCATGGACTGATTCCTCACATGTCAGGCTTTTGGATCACTATTTTGCATCATAATTCTACTATAAATCTATCTTTTCACTGTTCTGAATGTGCTATGCATTTTCATGAATAAACATTTGTTGAACACCTACAATATGCCAGATACTTTGCTAGTAGAGATATGAAGGTATGTCACCGATCAAAGGAATCGATAGTCTAGCGGACAGTCAAGTGAACCAGTGGGTGCCTCACTCCATTTAGGGCTTGGGCTAAATTGTGCCTGGGGTGTTCTAGTAGGACAGAGGAGGGGCATTTAAATCAGAGCAGGTAGCCTTTGAGCTGACTTTTTAAGGATGACAGACATGTGCTAGGATGGGCATTCCAGGCGCAGAGATTAGGAAGCTCAAAGACACAGAGACAGGAAGTAGCTTGATGCAGTCAAGGAATAACTCATAGTTTAGTGTGGTTGGAACACATGGATAGCATGCTCAGTGGAGCTGGAGAGAAGGCTAGAGAGGTGGACAGGGGCCAGAGCTTAAAAGGCTGGACATGTAGAAAGGAGCATGGACTGAGGAGGAAGAGGCTCAGCTTCTCACCTCGTTCTCAGCTGGACTCTGTATGAGTCTTCAAGCATGTCACTGGTCATCAGTATGACCAGAGAACTGGGGAGACTCATTCCTAAACCATGTTCCTGAAACATCATTCTAGAAAATGTGAACAGATCTGTGCTGTGCTATGGAAAATGTTTGCTTTACTTAAATAATTAGGGGAAGATTGAATACCACATTTGTCTCTCTAAGATTTGCGGCAACATTAGCATAGTAAAAGTTTCCAAAACCCTCCAGTGAAGAAGCCACTTCAATTTTCTTTAACTCCACATTTTCCAAATTACTTGAACTTAGAGTCAATTTTCTGTTACATTCATATTAGTATCATGCTGCAGAGCCCCATTTTGGCATACAATGGACAAGGTCTTAAAGGTCCAATCATCTTCATTCATTCATTAAATTCTTTTAAAGTGCAGAACCCAAGAGCTGGTCCTTATTGAACCTCTTTCTATATTAGTCCTCTGGTGTATAAGAAACTTTAGTTATTTTTCATAGCAATGGCTTTTTTATTACATCTGCTATCTTGGGATAATTTTTTTCCTTTTCTCATTTTTCATGTCATGCCCAGACTTTATTACCTGGTAATAAGTTGCAAGAAATGAGAATTGAGTTGTTTCTAAACAAATATCAATCATTTGTGATATGTTTAGTAGAAATTATAATGAATGTAATCAGGGTTTTACTTATTATAAAGTCATTATATTCAACATTGGCAAATCCCAAAATTAATAACAAGTCAATACATCATTTGAGATGCCAAAAGATCAAATAAATAAAAACAGAATTGACCTTGTTAGAAGTTTGATATTTTCAACATTTATCTGTCAGAGCCACTGAATTGGAAATTGTAATAAATTCTTGAAAAATGAGAACTTTTTTCCCCTGTAAAAATACCCATCATTTGGCAAACTACAGTGTCATTTTCCTTGAAGAGAATGTAGTGATTGATTATCCAGAGTGCTTCCATGACAAGGTAAACCAACCAAATAGCTGGAAAATTGTATGTAATCATATAACATCACATAGGCTTTTTGTTGAGCACGATCATTAGAATTAAACTATGGCATTCTAATCATTCCCTGTAGGTACTTCCTATTTACCCCAAAACCTTTATCTCTGGGGAATGTTCCCATGTGCTTACATTTTCCCCTTCTCCGACTGTCACAGGAATAAATACAGACCACACTGTACCCACCCAGCAAGATTGCAGAATGCAGAGATGCCCATGTCTAGCATCCCTCACATATGTGGCATTCAGAGAGGTTTATCTGTGTGTGCTGACATTATTAGTATCGTTTCTTTCAGTCAGAGCACTCACTGTCCTGAAGGTCCTGAGACGTCGTAAACCAGTGGGGGAGGGGAAGGCTGGGGGATGGACAAAGGAAATGAGGAATGTCAGTCTTGCTTTTGAGAAGTTGATAATATAACTAGGAAGAGCAAACACACCCGAGACCCTTTAGACATCTTTTCCTCTGTGTCAAAGCACCAGCACACCAACTGAATCCCAGAGTGATGAAGGCCAGTGGAGGAGCCACCAAATTATCCTTGGTTATTAGAAGACTACATGGAGTCATAAGAAAGGAAGAGGTTACCCAAACCTGCCTAGAGGTAATTAATCAATAGAAAGAACCAGGCCCTTTCTCTCCATAAACCTAAGCAATCTCCCTGTGCTCCTCTTCCCTACAGTGTCTTAGACTTTAAGGGGGGCTTTGTTACCGTAGCTGAACTCCACTCTCCCGTATTAATTGCCGTCTGCATGTTATAGGATATCCTGTGTTCTGAATCAGGATGAGGATTTTAGATTCTTCCGAGCGGCATGGGGACATGGAGCTGAGCAGAATCAATTCCTGTCACTCACACACAAATACAGAGGAGCGGGATTATGGATTAGGGGAAGCTGCAGTGCTTTATTCTTAAAATCGATACAGAAAAGGAGGTTGAACTTGGGATTCCATAGAGACTGTAATTTGGTTTCCTGTGAGGTTTACCTTATGGAGTATAACTGTTCCTTCCTTTTCACCGTCTGATTATTTTACTTCGGGACAGGGCAAGTGGTGGGAGAACAGGAAGGCAGATAAAAACCTCCACAGCCAGATCATCTTGAATAAGCACCCACGCATGAACTCCTGACTCACCTGATCCTCCATTGTGTTGAGAAAAGCTGTACACTTTTATCCTTTTTCTTTTTTTAAGATTGTATTTATTTATTCATAAGAGACACAGAGACACAGGCAGAGGGAGAAGCAGGCTCCTCGCAGGGAACCTGATTCAGGACTCAATCCCAGAACCCCAGGATCACGACCTGAGCCAAAGGCAGACAGTCAACCGCTGAGCCACCCACGTGTCCCTGTTTTACTTTTTAGAAGAAAAACAATTAACCAAGATCCTGTACCCCCATAGTCTGCATTTAAGCAGAATAAAAGGCCTTTGATTTTTTTTCCCCCCAGGTCACTGTCAGAGTAGAAAAAAATATATTTTTAATTTGTAATTTTATAGACAAGTCTACACAGCTCATGTAATTCTATGTAAATAAATATATCTTTGACAAAGCAGTTATTGATCAAAGGATTCCCAAGATGCTGGGCATGTGATTAATATTTACTCCAGTGTAATTCTGCTCCTTTTAAAAGAGACAGGAACTCATGGTTTAAACAACTCAGTCTTTTCTTAATCCAAGATTTAGAGTTGATTGAGTATGCCTCTCCACAGATAGAACCCTGATCTGCTGCACAGTTCTGTCAGTCTCTAGCTGCAAGATGGGCTTATTATTGTTTCCCCAGGATGTTTCTCTAATTCCGTTTTTAAAATATGTCTGAGTCTCTGTGGACAGAGCTTCTGCGGCGGCAGCAACAACAGGAACTGCTCTGATCTAAGGAGAAAATGATGGGACCTCCAGGCAGAGGAACTCTGGGCTAGCTCCGAGGCAGAGTGCTGTAGTTAAAAGAGTGAAGCCTGCAGCCCTGACTCGGCTCCCTTGCTCTCCTCAACCCATTTCTTCATCTTTAATCTGGGGGTGACTGGGGGATTCACCTGGTAGGCACACTGAGAGGATTAGATGAGCTGAAGTATGTAGAGTGCCTAGCCCTGGACTTGGCACTTGCAAGAACCCAGTAAGCGTTCATGATTACCATGATTAATGTGAGTCTCAAATAAGATAGCATCTGCTGTGTATGTGAAAACATGCCACAAGCTGTAAGGCTCAGTACAAATGTTAGCTGTTGTTCAGAATAGGTTGATAGTTTTGAAACTTTTAAAACAGATCACAGGGTACCTTTTCTTTGTGCTGCCTTTTGTAGGTCCCTAACCTCAAGGTAGAGCCCCAGAGACGATAAAGCAGTCTCCAACTGAATGTACATTATCTTCCTTAAAAGCCATAGCCCGATGTTGTGGATGCTGATAATTCTGTGGAGCCAATCTGCAAATCCCTGTCCCATGTCCTTCCGCAGAGAGTACTTTCTCAGGTCTTTGGAAGACCAGCATTATGTAAGATACTTACTTGGCTGTTTTTAATCAATGTTTGAAAGTGTTGCATCCTCCCAGGAAAGCTCACATCTTAAATGATTGCATCCTTTCAGTTGTCCTTCCTTGTCCTACACATGACTTGAATTAAAACAAACAAACAAAAACACAACGCATGAATTTCTGTGTCCTCTTGCAGAGCACGATCATTGTGGAGAAGACAGTGCAAGACCTCATGAACTTGATGCATGACCTGAGTGCATACTCGGATCAGTTCCTCAACATGGTGTGTGTGAAGCTCCAGGAGTACAAGGACACCTGCACCACTGCCTGCAGGTACAGCTTGGGTTGGGAACCTGACAGCTGCCCTGCTTGGCGATCCCACTTTCAGACCCTAACATTTCCACCATTTTAGAAAAGGACCAGTTTTGCTTTAGTCAAGGGCCCTGATGAGAGCACCTGCCACCTAAATAGTCTCCTGAATACGTGTGTAATAGGTGTGAACCTATGGAGGGAATGTGAGGGACCGAGGGACAGAGCCCCTCAGGACTGCTATTGTGTGGCATAGACAAGGTGTCAGCCTTCATTTTCATGAAAATCTAAAATTGTGAGATTTGTCTTACTTCGAGGAAATGCCAGATCATGGTTAGTCCACCTTGTAATCCTAAAAGATCTTTAAAGTAAGTAAGGCACTTTCAAACTATTCGTATCCCTTAATAATCTAGAATAGGATTTCTTTTTAGTTCTTAAAATGTATTTATCCTGATGCTTATTAATCCATAACCGTCCTATTGTCGTGACAGGACAGCTACACCTGTTTCCAGCATCAGCAGAAATGAAAAACCATTGTTATGAGCTTGAAAACCTTTAGTTTTCCCTCTAATTTCTTTTCTCTGGGCTCAGAAATCTCACTGAGCTGTGGAAAAGATCGTAGCACTCCTGGTAAGAAGCCAATAATAGGAACAAATTATGGTCTGGTTGACAAGACCTGATACAATTAGGGAAGAAAAGAATATATGATAAAATACTAAATTTTATGCAATGTATGTAATTAAGGAGAGGTAGGAAAGCACAGTCCGTCATCAGTACATGTACTGTGCGATATGGGACAAAAGAGCAGAAAGAATGAAAGATGAGAGAAAACCAGAAGGGAAGCCTGGAGTCAGAATTCACAGGTGAGATGTGTGCTGGGTGTTATAACAATAGATGGGATGTAGGGAGGCGGACAGAAGGAAGGACATTGCAGGGACGCAGTAGAAACACCAGCATAGTGGCCTTGTAGTTCAGCAAAACTATTACCTTCCTTGTGTAGGACCCAGTGCTAGACACGGTGCTGCTTGTTATATTCTATGAGTGCGTTTGTCGGGGATTTATTGAGCATTTCCCAGATCCAAGACAACTGTGAGTGTGTGTGGATAAGTCAGTCAGTCACAGAGGATACTGTCAATGAGTTTGCCTTCTTGGTAGAGGATAGAAAGGGAAATCAGAGACAAAGACATGTATGTCCACAGTGTTAACTTGTGAAAGAAAATATGATAAGACAGGTAGACACGCTGTGCGGGGGAGAAACAACTTAAGCACAGGAGCGACTCGGGGAAGGGTAGGAAGTAGGCCTTGTGAAGACTGAGACAGGATTCAGGCTACAGGAGCCGAAGGAAGGAACCAGAGCAGCGTCGAGGTGGGAGGGGTAGGAAAAGAAAATAAATGATGGATGTTTGGGTTTGGGAAAGGAAGGCTGAGCCAAAATGGAGGATTTTGAATGCCAGGTTCGAGATACTTGGCCTTGTCAGATTAGGTAGTGGGAACCCACTGAGGGTGCATGAATGGGGAGTTCCAGGCCCACACCTGAGCTTTGTGTGAGATGGACTGGAAAGACAAAGGGAGCAGTGGGGGAGAGGCAGCAATTTCCTGAATTGAAGGAGAGGCCAGGGAGGTAGTGGGGAAGGGACAGACCCAGAAACACTAGGAGACAAATATGTAGGACGTGGCCACTGGTTGGCTGTAGGGATGTAGGGAGATATACGAAGAAGTGCCAGTTGAAATTAGCCTTATCTTTTCCTATGCTTATTTGTAGAGAATTTTTTTTAACTTGAATTCCAGATCTCACATTTACCCATTAATGTTATTTTTAGCTGATCATTTCAGTCTTTTGAAATATTTTTGAATTCTCATTCTGTCATCAGAAAAATCTTAGCTCTTCCCCAAAGTCTTTGTCATTCTTGATTTTATAAGCAATCTTTTCATTTCTTTATGTATGTCATTTGAAAAGAAATGTTTAACAGGACAGGACTATGTTGAGAATTTGGGGGGCCATACCTCTCAAGACCTCCTTTGAGACTCTCATGTGTATATCACTGAGTATTTGAGGAGTTCGTGGGGGTTTTCTAAATGAGAATCCAGAAGGTACCTCAAGAGCAGTACCTCTGAAGCCTACATTTGCATGCCAACTTTGCCACCTATTGGTTTTATGACCTTGAACAGTTACTCAACCTTCTCGTGCCTTAATTTTCTCATCTGCAAAAAGGGATAATAATAGATCTTCTGTCATAGGGTTATTTTGAAAATATTAGTCTTTCAGAATTGTTTTTAGCACAATAGTAAGCTTCTCCCCAAAATGATTATCTGCGATTCTGATGACAAAGATCACCCTCACCACTGTTGATGATAGCACCTCCTGTATTTTATCATCTGCCCCCATAGGAGACATGTTAGATTTCTTGCTGGTGTTCTGCTAGGCCTAATCTTTATAATGCCAACTCCCCCTCCCTCAGGCCACCCCAGGATGAGCATGTACAGGTACATGTCCTCTCATTTCCACGGTACTAGGTATCCTTCCACTTTCAGGACCCCCTGCTCCTGACTCTGCCGAACCTTTGGTAAAAACTCTTATCTCGGACAACTTACCAATTACCCTTTGAAACCCAGACTCTTGACCTCGAGCCAAATTTACCATTTCTTCCATCAAGTCACTGAGCAACTCCCAAGTTAGGATAGGAACAAAGGCATGTGACTTGTGCGTCGTGAGGTCTTTCTGGCTCTCAGTGAGGACCACTTCCTAATTGTTCACAAACCATGTTTAATAATCTGTCCTAGAATTTTGCCTAGAGCTTCAAACTCACCCCATTTTTGGCATTGACTTTCTTTTCTTCCATGAACATCCTTGCTCTCATTTTTCACTGTTTGCCAGGATACCTCTAAGATTATCATGAATGGTTCTGTGATTCTCTGCTTTGAATTCTTTCTGTGCCCCAAGGTCCTTTCCTAAATGTATTAAACCTGTCAGAATATTATTCAATTGCAGTAACTGTTGACACAGTTGGTTACTCCATCCTTAAAACAATATATTGTTTTCTAGAATTTCATTCATTCAACAAATATTTATTGAGTATTTACATAAGAGTTTATAGATACGGCAATGAACCAAAAGATAAGATACTGCTTTTTTTAAATTTTTATTTATTTATGATAGTCACACACACACAGAGAGAGAGAGAGAGGCAGAGACATAGGCAGAGGGAGAAGCAGGCTCCATGCACCGGGAGCCCGACATGGGATTCGGTCCCAGGTCTCCAGGATCGCGCCCTGGGCCAGGCGCTCAACTGCTGCGCCACCCAGGGATCCCTAAGATACTGCTCTTATGGGGGTTTATGTTCTGTTGGAGGTGGAAGAGAGGAGACAGACAATAAATAGAATGCATAAATACCAAGAATTTTAAAATAGTGAGTCCTGGGTGAGGGAGTGCAGAGGGGGAATGGAATAGGACAAATAGACACTGGAGTGTAGGAGAAGGAGCCTGCCACTTTAAATAGGGTGCTCCAGAGGGCCCATTCAAGTTGAGGTTTGAGAAGAGGCTCAAAGAAATTTTGGGAGCTAAAGTATCTGGAAAGAGTGCCCTGGCAAAAGGCAAAGGCCCTAAGTCAGGACTCGGCATCACACTTTTCAGGAGCCTCAGCAGGGGGGCCAGTGTGGTTGGGGTAAAGTGAGCAAAGAGGGTCTTGGGAGGATGCCCAAAAATGAACAGAGGGCCAGACCATGCGGGGCCTTGTACACCACTGTAGGGACGCTGACCTCTACTCTGAGGGAAATGGGGAGGCACTGCAGGAATTGTGCGTAGGGGCAGCATGATGTGACTCGCATTGTAAGACACCAGCATTGAGAGTGAGCTGGAAGGGAATGAGGGTGGAAGCAGGGAGTACAGGTGAGTGCTGTTGTGGCAATCCAGGTGGGAGATGAACACTGCTCATACTGGGTGGTAAGCAGCAGAGATGGTGAGGACTGGTGAATTCTGGATATATTTGGAAGGGCCAGCCTGCAGAATTCCCTACCTGATTAGTTAGAGAGTGGGAGAGAAAGAAAGGTGTCCATGATGACGCCTAGGATTTTTTTTTTTTATTTGAATGATGAAGAGATGGAGCTGCCAACAATTGAGATGAAGGATTTAAATTTGGGGTCTCTCTGAGGCATCCCCATGGAGATAGGGAACAGGCACCCAAAGGAGAGGGGTCTGGCCATTGACATAGAAACACTATATATAGATGGTATTTAAAACCATGGACAAGATGACACACACACACACACACACACACCCCAGGGGTAAGGGTAAACTTGGCAGAGAAGAGGACTGGGGACTTGAAGAAGTTTGCAAGAGAAGAAACCAGCAAAGGCCACTGAGAAGCAGCAGTCAGTGAAGGAGGAGGCAAATGTAGAGCGTGGGGTCCCTGAAACCAAGTAGGGGGTGGAGGGGCAATCAGTGTTGGGTCCACACACGGACCAAGCAGTGACGGAGTGACGACAGTGGCTTCTGCAGCCCAGTAAGAGCAAAACCCTGATGGGCCTGGGCTTAAGAAGGAACCTGAGAGTGGGGGGACCTGTAAGTATAGGTGAAACCCCTACAGTGAGTTTTGCTGCCAAGGGGAACAGAGAGATGAGGTGGTGCTAGCTGGAGAGCTGAGGTCACACAAAGGGTGTTTTGTCATTTGACAGCTCATTTTATTTTTTAAACATTATTTTTATTTTTATTTATTTATGATAGTCACACAGAGAGAGAGAGAGAGAGAGGCAGAGACATAGGCAGAGGGAGAAGCAGGCTCCATGCACCGGGAGCCCGATGTGGGATTCGATCCCGGGTCTCCAGGATCGCACCCTGGGCCAAAGGCAGGCACCAAACCGCTGCACCACCCAGGGATCCCTGACAGCTCATTTTAAAAAGAAGAGATGGCACGTTTGTATTTGAAGAGCATCATTTAAGAGAAAGGGAAGACGCTTGACGTAGGAAAGAGAGGGGCAAATGGCTAAAATTCTGGTTTTGGCCAGTGAGTTGGAGCGGGGTGTAACAC